TATAAAGTAAAAGTTCAGGTAGTCAACCAACTGAGCTATCAAGATTTTAAAAAAAAAAAAAATTTGGGAGGGGGGGGTAGATTGGGCGTCAACAAGGTGAAAGTTCAGTTCAGGTAGTCAACTAATTGAGCTACTAAGATTTTTCGTCTTCAAGTTATTTATTTATCTACTTGTTTAAATATGATCATTATTTACGAAAAATTATGTGTACGTCAGGTACAATTGGAACGGAGATAAACCGTCAACTTAAGGACATTCATGCAGTGTTTGTACCTGTTGGTGGTGGGGGTCTAATATCTGGTGTTGCTGCCTTTTTCAAACAAATTGCCCCAAATACAAAAATTATTGGAGTTGAGCCATATGGTGCAGCTTCAATGACATTGTCATTGTATGAAGGACATAGAGTAAAATTGGAAAATGTTGATACTTTTGCTGATGGTGTAGCTGTGGCACTTGTTGGTGAATACACTTTTGCAAAATGCCAAGAGTTAATTGATGGAATGGTACTTGTTAGAAATGATGGTATTAGTGCTGCAATAAAGGTTAGCTAGACACATCATCTTTTGTCCTTTTTATGTTTCACGTTCGATATTTGGTATCTATTTTAGAATTGTGAAAAATCTAAATTAGCATCGAGTATGACCTATTGAAGGAGGAATCACTTCCTTTTAGGTATATCTTCTTTTTTTTTCATTTGTTGGGCTTGAATTTTAGACGTCTACTTACAGTCTGTTTGGCGGAGATCAAATTAGTCAAGCACTAATTACTACTCAAAGGTATTTTTTAAAATTTATTGGTCAAACACAAATTACTTCTCACTAGAAATACTTTTCAAAATAAGCTGATTTTAGAAGTTGAAAAAACACTTCTCAAAATTTATCGCCTCTTCTTATAAAATGGTATCTCTTTTTTTTCAAAATTTATCGCCTCTTCTTATAAAATGGTATCTCTTTTTTTTCAAAATTTATCGCCTCTTCTTATAAAATGGTATCTCTTTTTTTTCAAAATTTATCGCCTCTTCTTATAAAATGGTATCTCTTTTTTTTCAAAATTTATCGCCTCTTCTTATAAAATGGTATCTCTTTTTTTTCAAAATTTATCGCCTCTTCTTATAAAATGGTATCTCTTTTTTTTCAAAATTTATCGCCTCTTCTTATAAAATGGTATCTCTTTTTTTTCAAAATTTATCGCCTCTTCTTATAAAATGGTATCTCTTTTTTTTCAAAATTTATCGCCTCTTCTTATAAAATGGTATCTCTTTTTTTTCAAAATTTATCGCCTCTTCTTATAAAATGGTATCTCTTTTTTTTCAAAATTTATCGCCTCTTCTTATAAAATGGTATCTCTTTTTTTTCAAAATTTATCGCCTCTTCTTATAAAATGGTATCTCTTTTTTTTCAAAATTTATCGCCTCTTCTTATAAAATGGTATCTCTTTTTTTTCAAAATTTATCGCCTCTTCTTATAAAATGGTATCTCTTTTTTTTCAAAATTTATCGCCTCTTCTTATAAAATGGTATCTCTTTAAAAAAAAAAAAGGGAAAATCAAATTTACCTACCTAGTATCAAAAATTGAACCGTTATTCTAAAAGAATTTGGACACGTAAAATCCAATCATTTCAAGACAGTTTCATAAACGATAAAGTAAATGCACGAACGAACCAAAAGTGTAAACAAAAATAAAAAATCTAGCGATTTCGACTAGTACAAAGGTATATTTGAACCTTTTTGAGTACACTTCTAAAGGTTAGACAAATTTTCTCGAAGAATTTGAACACGTGAAGTTCAGTCATTTCAAATCGGAATTAAATTATTATTTTTTTCTTTTTTTCAAATAGGATGTGTATGATGAAGGAAGGAACATATTAGAGACATCAGGTGCAGTTGCCATAGCTGGAGCTGCAGCCTATTGTGAATTCTATAACATTAAAAATGAAAATATTGTAGCAATTGCAAGTGGAGCTAATATGGATTTCAGCAAACTACACAAAGTTACAGAGTTAGCAGAGTTAGGTTCAGACAAAGAAGCTTTGTTAGCTACTTTTATGATAGAACAACCAGGAAGCTTCAAGACATTTGCTAAACTTGTAAGTTTCTTGCTCAAACTCTTTAAAAATATCGTTTGGTATCTATAGTGACGAATCAAGAATCATCATTAAGTGGGGTTGTAAAGAAAAAATTACTTGTTGCATTGTTGTTTGAATTCATTAAAAATATCGTTTGGTATCAACTGCCAAACATAAGTTTAGGATTTTCACTAAGAGGGTTGAGAAAAAAATATATTAGCTTGATGCGTTGTTGTTTAAACTCTTTAAAAATATAGTTTGGTATCTGCAGTGAAAAATCCAGAATTTTCATTAAGGGGGTCATATAGAAAAATTTACTTGTGTTGTTGTTTGAACTCATTAAAAATATCATCGGGTACCAACTACCAAACATGAATATAGAATTTTCACTAAAAGAGTTGAAAAAAAAAAAGGATACGTGTTGCATTGTTGTTTGAATTCTTTAAAAATATCAATAGTGAATTTAGAATTTTTATTGAGGGAGTTCGAATTTACTTGTTACATTGTTGTTCGAACTCTTTAAAGATATCGTATAGTACCAGTGGTGAATGTTTTCACTAAAGGGGTTAGAAAAATTTACTTGATACATTGTTGTTCAAACTCTTTAAAAATATCATCTGATAGTCGATCTAATGACGGATTTATGATTTCACTAAGAAGGTTCGAAAAATAAAAATATAGTACGCAAAATCTATATATAATAATAATAAGTTTTTTTAAAAAATAACTTTCATTTAGAAATTTTATATTATTTTTTTATTTGGGGATAAAAACTGAAATTTTAACTTGGATTACAGGTGGGCTCTATGAATATTACTGAAGTGACATACAGATTCACTTCTGAAAGAAAAGAAGCTCTAGTTTTGTACAGGTAATTAAATTAATTTTCTTCAATTTTAAATTTTATTTATTATTTACGATTATATTCTATTATATTTTTAGATTATTTATTTATTTATTGAATTTGCAGAGTTGATGTTGATGAAAAATCAGATCTTGAAGAAATGATTAAGAAATTGAATTCATCAAATATGAAGACTTTTAATTTCTCACATAATGAATTGGTTGCAGAACATATAAAACATTTGGTAATATCCTTTTTTTTAATAATTATTATTATTTATCAAATTTATTTTAAATATTTTAAATAATCAATTATTATATTATATTATTTTATTTCTATTTTCTTTTTTAATAGGTTGGTGGCTCAGCAAGTATCAGTGATGAAATTTTCGGTGAATTTATTTTTCCTGAGAAGGCTGGAGCTTTAAGCACTTTCTTAGAAGCTTTCTCCCCTCGTTGGAATATAACTTTATGCCGTTACCGTGATCAGGTAAGTTATATATACTGACAATATAAGTTTATATTACATTATTATTAATGTGCGATCATCTTATAAAAATGGCCCGACTTAGAAACGAATCCATTATTTAAGTTTTGTGAATTCAACCTAGTACTTGTTGCAATTTTAATAGGTTTCTACACATACACATTAGCCATCATGTCGAAAGTATTAGGTTCATATAAATTTAGTGTTGCAAGACTCTATGTGACTCTGATTTGATTATATAAATATTCCTAACACCATTTCTACATAAAACTCACACTTTTATCTCAGGTAATTCTTTTACAATGCGATTTTTTTCTTTTGCACCTATCGATATAATATAGAAAGTAAACTTTTTTGTATTATATAATAATACCTTGGGAGGATTTATTATAACTTTATTTATTTTATTTGATTGCCATGACAGGGAGATATAAATGGAAATGTGTTAGTGGGATTCCAAGTCCCTCAAAGTGAGATGGATGAGTTCAAAAGTCAAGCTGATGGACTTGGTTATCCATATGAACTTGACAATCTCAATGAGGCTTTTAACATTGTAGTAGCTGAGTGAAGAAAAAAAAATTTGTTGTTCTAAGTTGCAATTATTGCAAATCCTACTTTTTTTATAAAAAAAAATAACCGTGTTGTACGGATCAGCTTATTAAGGAATAATTGATGAATTAACTTGTTATAAGTTAATTTCATATTGTATGAATAATAAGATGCCTATATCCAATGTAATGGCCTTTTAAGTTTCATTTAGAAATAATTTATTATTGTCAATTACTTTTCTCAATTATTACTATTAAGTTGAAGTGACATTTTCTAATGTGGCCATGAAAATAGTATTCACTGATCACTTTTTCTTTTCGATCACATATTTATGAAATAAAAATTGTCATTATCATAAAATTTTACTTTTGAAATTCGAAACTCAAAAAATGGACATTGATGGTGTAAAAAAGTTGGGACTACAAACATTTCAATACAAGGAACTAGGAAGCTTTAAAGATTGCTCCACTCACATGGGAAGAAGCAATGATTCGATTGAGGATGAAGAACGAGAATTCTTGATTAAAGTTCCCCCTTAACAACATAATATGAAATCGATCGAATTCTATAGACTCAACTCATAGTGATTATAAATTTCTTGGATTAGTTCTACCCCTTAACAACATATATAAGATTAATCAAATTCTATCTAGTCAGACTCAGTGATCATAAAATTCTTGGATCATTTCTATCCCTAAATGACAGATATAAAATTGATCAAATTCTATCGAGCTTGACTTATAGTGATCATAAAATTCTCGATCAGTTCAACCCTTAATGATAGAATGTAACATTCTATCGAGTTTGACTCATAGTAATCATACAACTCTTGGATCAATTCTACCCTTAACGATATAATATAAAATTAATCAAATTCTATCAAGTCTAACTCATAAAGATCATAAAATTCTTGCATCAGTTCTACTGTGGAATATAAGATTGATCAAATTCTATCGAGCCTGCCTCATAGTGAACATGATCATTATCAAAAAAAGACTAGCAAGCAAAAGGTATTTGAAAGTGAAAGCAAAAAATTAGTGTAAATTCTAAAAGAAAGAAAGAAATGTGTACATCCACTTGATTCAATGTCATACCAGAATTTAACAATCATATAACTTGAACCAATAATAAATACTACTAATCTAAAATATCATCATCTTCTTCACCTTCCCAAACTCATATAATTTCCAGTACTTCTCCCCTTTCTTCTGTCCCTTTTTCGTATCGCAAATGGCAATCTACTGATAAAGATATTTGATGATCTTTCACCAATAAGAAACAGCAAGAGAGAACGAGTTAACACACAAACTTCCAAGCTTTGTGCATGATTTCATCGTCTATGTAGGGGCGCAATGACCACATGCTGGAGTAGCTCTCCAGTTCTCCAGAAGGTGAAGTGAGGTTAAGGGAAGAAACAATCTTTTCCTGATACAGGCAAAAAAAAGGATTAAAATTACGCGCTTAGCTAAGTTTAAGCCATCGGAAAAAGATTATTACCTGCATTGTGTAGTCACTTTTTACCATGGAGTATACCACTGCCATCATTATTGCAATATCAGTGATTTCATGTTCCAGAGGATCAACAGACGATGCTTCTGCCTACATTATTATAAAAGATCAGTTACTCGGGAAGCATATATACGTGCAAGATCAGTCTAAAGATCATGATCGCTTTAGATATTTTTTTCCTTTAAGAAATAAGCACACATGAATGAACCATGTCTGTATTAGTAACTTAAATTGGAAATTTGAGTGAACATTACGAGTTAAAAGGATTAAGGGATCTTACTTCATCATGACAGGTTTCCAACAGGTTTGTACTGTTGTCAACATTTAGTTCCCCCACTTGAGTCAAACTGCAATTTATCGATTGCACTACGGCTTCCGCTTCCTTTAAAAGACATGCAAGTTCATCAACTACAACCTTCGCTGCAATTAAATATCAGCATTTTATGATCTGAACTCCAAATCCAATTGGAAAATCATGTAATTGTTCACTTATCATAAAAACTGTAAATGAAATTATTCTATGCAGGGTAATTTGAATAACGAACAAACCAATAGTAGCGCCAAGCTCTGAGGAAAACCTAGATTTAACATCTTTGCATATAGAAGTAATGTGATTGTGGTCACACTCTTGTACAACCTTCTCTAAAATCGAATATATGAAGCCCCATACGTGTTCCAAATCAAGAGACTTTATTTGGTTTCATAAGTTGAATCAACCTTTTTATTCTTAACATGTTAATCTTAACGCAAGCCAATGTGTGTGGCATGTGCCGCTGAAGAGACACCGCTTAACATACTTCTATTAGCCATACATGGATGACATTCTAGATCTCATGGGCAAAATTAACCGTGCATTAGCATCGATAATTAACTTGGTGCAGGATTTGTTGGATCAGGAGTTTTTCCAATCATTTCTTTGCTAGTTAACTTAGTACAATTCAGACTTCCCCACCTATCCAACAATAGGGATTAATTAATCCCATGAAAATTCTCCGATGAAAAATTAGCAAGATAAAGCCAAAAATGCAAACGTACCAGAAACTTCTCCTAAACTAGCTATGTCCCAGCAACTATCTTTTGGTGTGTATGTGGTCGGAAGGGGACCGTAAGCGTTTTCATGGCATCACAACTTCAACCTACTCCCTCAAAACTAGATGCTTAGAAAGCCTATAGTTGGAACTACCTCACCCATTTTAATAGCGCTGACTACATTTTGGATTCTGTTAGCTCCATGACTTAAGAGAATAGAGTGGATATACTCTGGTAGTGAATTTTCTTGCTACTGTCCAGGTAAAGTAACAACATAAAGATGATATAGGAAAAAATAATTTCAGGACAGGGAATACCTTCATTTACATGATTCTGAAGTCCAAGGTGGCTTGTATGTACTTCTGTGCAGAAGAAAACCCAAGTTGTGAAGAGAAATAACACCAAAACAAATCTAAGGAAAGAAATTGGAAACAAAAAGGGGAAATTCGACTGGACTAGATGTGAAGACAGTAACAGCAACATAAATCAAATCATTAAGACAATTTTCCACACCTCTTGTTAATATATAGATATGTGAAAGATTTGTAGCAAGATGTTTAAACAGTTTACTATATGGAAACGATCTTAGCGAAACAGAATTATAAAACCTAAACTCTGGCAACGAAAAATAAAGATATAATACATTACTAAACACTCAAACTTGCCCTCAACTGGCTAGTAAGTATTTCAACTTTGAGTATATATATCTTGACACCTCAACTTGGCTCCACTGTGTCAATTGAACACTCCATCTTATAAGATGATCATCTAGACACCTCCGAAATTTATGTGCAACATCGGCGTCAGGTGTCCATGACACAATGGAGACAAGTTGAAGTGTTTAGTTGCTAATTGCCACCAAGTTAAGGTTTCTAGATATGCAATCTCAAAGTTGAACTACTACTTACTTGCCAGTTGAGGCCAAGTTTGAGTGTGTTTATGTATTATGCCAAAAGAAATGACGAACCCCCTCCCCTTCCTCTTTTTTTTCGTTTCAAGCATGGGACCTTAACTTACCGAACTGACTTAGTAAAGTAGAAATCATTAGCTGTCAACTGTTCATAGTGAGCAGTGGAAGAGGGTCATCGATTCTCCCGAGGGGTCACAATTGCCGCGAGCAAAGATATTAATGACGAGGAAGGCTTTTTTGTTATGCTACTAATCAGGTATGCAATACGTATCAATGCAAATAACTCAAATTATCGTAAAAAACAAGAGAAAAAAATTCTACAGCATCTTGTAAACTTACTCTGAAAAGCACCATCTCATATAATTCCTTCACATTAACTGTTCTTTTATATAGATAGTTCAAGATTTACGAAACACTTACACTTGGACATATTGTGTACAGAATCATGAGCATTCAAACATCCAGCTTCTATATAGGAGGAAAGCCTCTTGCTTTCATTATCTCTAATGATACGCTCGACCAATTCAGAATTCTTTTCAATTGGTTGACGCCGAAGATACTCTGACAAAAGCAGGCAAAATAAGCTATATTCATTATAGAGCATACAAAACATTAATTTTACTCGAGTAGTAGATTCATTCAAATGGATGCTACAACACTCACCGAGTCCTTGCTGAAATCCAACTAGTAATCTACTTCCCACTTCCACTAATTCATCAAACTTTGTAATCCTGAAATATAGAGAGAACTAACTTAGTGTAATACTTTGCAGAATTGTTCACCATTTTCAAATTACAACCAAAAAAACCCGTGTATCCAGACCTTACCACTACCTCGCGGAACCATTTTCAAACAAATCCTACATGTCAACCCATGTTAACAGTTTTTTAAAATTGTATATATAGCAGATGATGAACCCGTTAGCTGAGAAATTCTGCAAAAACTGCATTTTTTTTTATAAATTTACAGAAAGTTCCATTCGGACATTTATCCATCACAAAATTCGAATTAAAATACATACAAATGTTGTTTGCTCGTGTAAATTGAATTGAAATAAAGTATAAAAGTAAGGAAGAACGAAGCAAATAATTTCTTGACTAAGAAAAAAAAACAGAAACAAAATCACGGTAGTCAGAGTTGTGTACCTAAGCATAAAATCTGAAAAAGTATGAAAAATCTTCTCTTTGGATTTATACAAGGTACCGCCATCTTCTATTTCCATGGCGAAGTGAACGGAAAACACTCTTTCACCGGCAATGGCTTCCGCCCGAAAGTTATCGGCGGCGATTTTGTTCTGTTTACCTCTTTAAGGAGTTTTTAACCAAAATTTGAGCACATTTAGTCCAAAGTAACAAAAAATACTCACTTCCCTCAGTAAACTAATTTGGAAACGTCATAAATGGTCCTGAACTATTGAAATAGGTTTTAAAATAGCCCCTTAATTATATACTTATCGAATTTAGTCTTTTTAACTATTTAAAATCTTATAAGGTTTGGTCTTTAAATGATACACTTATCGATTTTAGATCTTTAACTAATACACTTATTGATTTTTAGTCCCGTAACTAAAATTGTAAGTGTATAGTTAAATGATCAAATTATCTGATAAAGTTTAGGATAGTTTAAAGGGCTAAATTCGATAAGTATATAGTTAAAAGACTATTTAGACCTACTCCAATAATTCAGGAACCATTTATGGCATTTTCTTGAAAACCAACACACGTATAACTATAGGTGACAAATATGTAGATTGAGCTGAATTCAGACGGATTAAGATAGGTTGAGTTAATAAGTTGGCAAATTATTAATTTGTTCAAAAATTACTTGGACTATAATGGACTATGCATTCATACCTCAGCTTGTCCAACTCTCATTAAGTTTTAGTCGTTTTATTTAGTTTTTATAATCTTTTTAATATCTTGTAAAACTATTATCTTTTGTTATTATAACTATATATAACATATTAAATTAAATTAAATTGAAACTATTTTGACAAAATTTCTTATGAAGTGCTAGATATGAGTCTAAACTTCAATGGATTGAAATAAACTTATCAATTAAAATTTGAACGGACCGAATGAATTATAATTTCATATGTTGCTTTTACCACCTTTACATATACGTGAAGTTGAACTTAGATATAATAAGATTTAGTGGCGAAAACTACGGTCGGTATTGAAATTGAACTTAAGTGTAATAAAATTCAGTTGCGCAAATAATTCTATACTGAGGTGTTGTTGAAAGTTTGGTACTATTCAAGCAAATTGGGTTCTCAACTCTGTTATTGGTGCGAATTGGGGTCTCAACTCGATTGTCATATTATTTGTTATTGCTATTGTTTTCTTCTCCATTGTTTTCCAATATGACTTCTTTACTACTATATTTACCTTACATACTTGATTTTTGATATTCATTGCTAGGGCTGAAGATCTACTGGAAGCAATCTTTCTACCTTCACAAGAGTAAGTTGCGTACACAACACCCTCTTCAGACCCCACTTATGAAGTTACACTGGGTGTGTTATTGTTGTCATTGTAACTCGTATAACTTGTGGTTGGATCGGAATAAACCAATATGAAGTTGCACGAGGAATGGTTCACGCCATTTTTGCTTCAAGTTCTGCAAAGTAAGCTAAAGCTTTTATATTAACACCTGGCCAATGGCCATACTCCTAATAATATACTTTATCCCCAATAATCTTACTTTACAATTACCTTTAGGAGGTGCCAAAGATGCCTCCTCACCTGGAAATGAGCAACTTTCTATCCAACAGTCATTTCACTTCAACCTTAAATTGAAATGTCCTCAAAATTCTCATACCAATAAGATAAAGAAAGAAGAAGAGATTTACTATAGGAGAAAAGAAAAATGGGTTTCTTGATGTCTCTCTTAGGCGGTTTTCTTCTCGCGATGGTATTTTCTGTATCTAATGGAGACCCTTTAGTTCCAGCATTGTGCATATTTGGGGACTCTGTAGTTGATGTTGGAAACAATAACAACTTAAGCACTCTCATCAAGGCAAATTTTCCACCTTATGGGAGAGATTTTGTTACCCATAAACCCACCGGAAGGTTCTGCAATGGAAAGCTGGCCACAGACTTCACTGGTAATGTCTAAAACATTTCAATAATTGTCTCCGCAAAAGAAAAGTAAATGTCCTCTATTGTTTCTCATGCATGCATGTTTTTATCCACAGCTGACTATCTTGGGTTCACTTCATACCCACCGGCTTACCTGAGCCGAGAAGCTAGAGGGAAAAGAGTTCTTACTGGTGTCAACTTTGCCTCTGCTGCTTCTGGTTATTATGAAAGGACTGCTCGACTGTTTGTAAGTACTCAAATATGTCTGAGAATAGAAATCAGTCGATTTTTAGAGGATGACTAACTTGGAAATGTCATGGTTTTTGCAGCGTGCTCTGACGTTGACACATCAACTTAAATATTACAAGTTGTGGCAAAGGAAAGTAGTGAATCTGGTAGGGAGGACCAACGCTACTAACATTTTCTCAAGAGGAATACATCTTATAAGTGCAGGAAGCAGTGATTTCATGCAAAACTACTATATAAATCCACTACTCAACAGAGTCTACTCACCTGATCAGTTCTCAGATATCCTCATGAAGTCTTACTCTACATTCGTTCAGGTCCAGCTTCCTCTTCTGTGTACTAATTGTTACCACTTCTTCAACTGTTACCATAAACTAATTCTTAAATCCGAGCAACCTGCAGGGAATTACTTTGCATAACAAGAACATTATCAAATGAAAATGCAATTAGGACTAACCTATTATAATGTTCTAACTCAAGATCATTGGACTAAAATTTACTACGTACGATAGTAAGGGCCCTGGTAAATAAATTTAAGTTCCAACTCTTATTTGACAAACGGGAGCAAGCAAGCCCATGCACGAATCATAATAAGCACTTATCAAATTACAGAAAGTTAGGATTGTTACAGGATGTACAAGGATGACATACACTTGACCACCCGGTAGACTTAACCTGAAACTAAGAAATAAGATCAAGCTGTATTTATATATCACAAACTAAGAAATATTATGTGTATTCATTTATACACAAGCCAATCAGTATGTTAATATCAGCAGCGATCAATGTACAGAACCTCTATGATCTGGGAGCAAGGAGGATTGGGGTTACAACTCTGCCACCAACTGGTTGTTTGCCAGCTGCCATTACTTTGTTCGGCAGAGGAACCAACGAGTGTGTTGCAAAACTGAACAAAGATGCTGTCTCTTTCAACAAGAAGCTAAACAGGACATCTCAAAAGTTAAAGAGCAAGCTTCCTGGCATCAAGCTTGTAGTCTTCGACATCTACCAACCTCTCTTTGATCTGATCACAAAACCTGCAGAAAGTGGTAACATGCTGAGACTTTTTCTTCCTTCTCCTTTCCTACCTTTTTTTCTCAAACTCGCTTATCCTTCAAAAGTATTGAAAGCACAAACATGTACAGAATTTTATTGTCAATTTTTATTAAAATAAATGTCTCATATCTTGAAACTTGACATAGGAAGAAATGTAAATTTCTAAAATGGGTTTCCTGTTACTGTACTAAAATAAAAAAGGTGAATTAGGAAATGTCCCCTTCTTGATCCATTTTTGCTGATAATATTCCTATTTTCCAGGATTTTTCGAATCAAGAAAGGCTTGCTGCGGGACTGGTACACTAGAAACATCATTCCTTTGTAATGCCAGGTCCATTGGAACATGCTCCAATGCTACAAACTATGTCTTCTGGGATGGATTTCATCCCTCACAATCGGCAAATGAGAAGTTAGCTCAAAGTCTGTTGGAACAGGGTTTTGACCTCATATCTTAAAGCCTCAATGCTGCAGAACGGTCGACTTTGTATGATAATGTTTATTACTTTCGAACTTGAAAGAGGCTTTAGTCAGTCTTAGTTCATACAAGGGCTTAAGTATATTTCATATGATAGCAGTTACAGCAAGTACAAAATGTCTGACAGCTTTCCCAGCTTGGGAATATGTTTTTCGGTATTTGATGTACTGTCAAATGAAAGTCAACTGAAAGAACAGTATTCTGTAAGTCTTTTGAGTCATCCCATGAGATGAGCTCTATTCAACACTAAATATTCTACTTGATTTCCTACCCATAATTTATTTATTTATTTTTAAAAAAGGAAGACCTGTTTAAACTAAAGTAAGCTATAAGTATTTCCATTTGTCATAAAAAAAAATTAAAAATCAATCTTCTGGTATCTTCTTTCTTTTGGCGGCGGGGAAGGAGAGGGAGTTGATCTTTTGCTAGCTCTGGTGTTCACAAACAAAGAGAAAACCACTTTACCTGCGCAATAGTTATGAAAGTTCGAAACCAGCATTGGAATTGATAGCATATAGAAGCTTTGCTCTCAAGGTATTCTGGCGTTTGTATGTTGGAAGCTGTCAAAGGCAGAAGGAAAAATACAGATTATTGGAATATGTTCGAGTTAAAAGAGATCTTGTTGTTGAAAGCTACCTTGATTTTCAGTTTGACAAAATATGAGTTGGATTAGGTCCATTCAATGCCTCAAACTTAACGTAGTTTAATTTAACTGTACCTTGAGGGTGTTGTAGCATGTAGACGCTGAAGGGAGCCGATCAACATCCTGTCCCCCGAATGTCGCCAATAGTGGCAAATCACAAGAAACCTATATTTACGAAATTTCATTACTATTAGCCACTGGTTATCAAGGCATTCCGTTTAAATTTTGGTATGTACATTTTCTCTAGTTTTCCTTTCCCTTTCTTTCAAAACTTTTTGGTATTTTATTTGTTTTCATGGCCATCCCCCCCTCCCTCTTCACCCTAAAAATGAAAAACAACAAGATAAAAAACAGGCCTTTAGAACATAAAGAAGTGCAACAAACATCAGGTAGCCAGAAGAGTAAGATTTTTAACAATGCTGGTGTTGAGTGATTACTGGGAAGACGAGAAGCAAAAACAGCATGTAATCAATAAAAGTATGTACGAGGAGCCACTTTAGAAAACTCACATACAAGAACAAGTACATCATGCCGATAAATGCCAGAAAGTTACTGAAAATGTGTTAATTAAGTTGTTTAGGATGTTAATTTAAGAAAAAAGGAATATTCTTGCCGATTGTTAGTTTAAAGAAAACAGCATGACACATAATGTGGCCATATCAAGTGAAGCATTTGTTTCCTTTTATAATTTGATTATTTTATAAAATTTGGTTTCTTGTTAGGGAAGGGCATTTCTGATTAGTTTTAGTTTGTTCTTATTAGAGTGGGACAATCTACAAGAGTTTTCTCTGCATAACCTTCCTCAAACAACTGAGAAACATGGAAATAAAAGATTGTAAAAAAAAAGACAGCCTGGTGCACTAAGCTCCTGCTAAGTGCAGGGTCCGGAGAAGAGCAAGACCACAAGGGTATATTGAACGCAGCCTTACCCTGCATTTCTGTAAGGAAATGACAGATTGTATCCATACTTCACCAAAATCAAGACTGCCTCCTTTCAGACTCTATATGGCATAAGATACCGAAATACTGAATGAGTCTGAACTCATCCAGACATCTACATATGACGATGCACTATTTAAAGCTTCAAACCTCAGCCACATTTGCACCTCTGCAACACTGTCACTGTCAGCCAGTGGCAGGAGAAAGTTTGTATCCCAGCACTAACACATTAGGGTTGAACTCAATTAGGAGACATGGGTCCTGTTCGGTTCCACACAAATTTCCAATCTACGGAGAAGATAAAATCTGGTTGTTTGCCCCAAATTCCTGTTTCTTTATGAGGATTTTGCAGAATTTTTTTAAAAGACGCAAAACTGATAAATATCGTCTATCCTGCATTTTCCATCCAAAGTGAAACACTGGAACTGGTTTACCAAAAAATCAGATGCCAGTTTCACATCAGTTCACCAACCAATAAAAACTTTCCCTGCACTCCTATTTCCGGGTTCTTTCAACGCTTAACTCTCAATAATTTTACCCCCTTGTTATACTTTCACCATTGTCGGTTGACCATTTTGAATTAACACTGCCTATTTACCACTTCACTCAACATCCAGAAAAAAAAATACGGTGCTCATTATTAACCTTTAGAGCACAAAATCTGGTAATAAAAGCCTTCTTATCTGTTTATCATCTTCATGTGTGCTAGGTGGTTTCGTGATTTGGGGGAAAGGGACAAGAAAGTGCATACCTTGTGAATGGTGAAGGTTGGCTGCAGATGTTTGAATCCAAGCAAAGGAGCTCGCGAACAACTTGTCACAAACTTAAGCAGCAAACACCGTTCTTTTGGTTCAAAACTCGCAAATACCTAAACCTCAAGAACAATTAGTTAGAAATGCTTAATTGTCTTCAATGGTTTATTCTCCTACTCTAACACTTGCCACCACATACATATGACTAGATAACACCAAACAATAAAAAGATCTTTGCTTAGACCAAGTTCCTTCTGTCGAGAGATGTTTGTTTGAGACGGTTCAAGTAGACAATGATGGATATCACATTTGAAGTTTCTTAACACAAAAAGAAAAAGAGAAGGAGAGGGATAATTCATGCATACCTCCCAAAAGAGTTTAACTGTCCGACTTCCTTCGGTGTAACCTCCAGTATAGCGTGTATTCTTCCTTAAATCATCAATGTCAATATCATGGTTTCCCCCTGAAAGCAACTGGATAAAACTTTAGATTAGCTGAAATGAAAGCATGCAGTCCAGCAAAGAAAAGCCTTTGTAATTCAAGTGGCTTTCAACTTATTCTCATACCACATAAAAGCATATGCACTCCATCTAATTTTTTTATGCCTTCCATTCTATTGTCTGCATGTCATGTTAGTTCCTTAATTTTAAAGAAATGTGGAGAACCAGATAAGATAAAACAAAAATTGCAGAGGTATTGCCAATACATTCAGCATTTACAAGCCAATCGTTGATTCGAATAAGCAAAGAGACAAGGAAGTCTAAAACTAGCACGGAAAGAACAAGGAAAGATCAGTTGATGGTAGAATCTCATACCCCATGAGGAATACAGTAACATTCTATGGATTGATGGTAGGTTGACAGAGTAAGCGCATACATAACTCACCTTTGCCCACATACATAGCAACTACATGCACTTGCAAGTATATATGCATCTGTAATAAAGCACAAGTCGAAATAGAGAGGCATCTGCCTCTATTTTGCAAGAAACAAATAAAATCACAGGGTATGCAATCAAAATCTATGTTACATTAGCAGAGACATGGTTATGCATCAAATACAACTTCAGGACTATTCCTTACAGGTGGATTTCATTTAGCAGGTTTTATTTGTGTTTTGAAGGATCCAAACTCATACCCATATCAGACCTGTTTGATGTAATTAAATTAAGTCAAATGAAGAGTCCATGTAACATAGATTTTGATCTACTAACCACCTCCTAGGTCAAGCTTTTCATGAAAAATCAGGCTATAACCTGCTACAGTATATGTGGAAGGGGTAAACAATAGGGAAAGAAAATTGTACACAGAGCTACTAAAACTGAAACACAAAATTCTGCTAAAATATGCACAGACGGAATTACCTGATTAAATTCACTTGCATTAAACAACTTTAACCAGGAAGGGGATATAAGGTCCGTCAGTCCTCTATAAAATGCATTTGAGAAAGGAAGTATCTGCCATTGAGAGCTGGAAACAATAAG